GTGATGCTTGGATGGTTCTGCTACTGCAGCCTCAGAGTCTAATCACTACAAAAACAAAATCTTTGTACTACTGCAGCAGCCGCAGAGCTTCATAGTTACAAAAATAAAATACTAAAACAAAGTCAGGTCCTTATACTGCCCGCATTACACCTTATCACATAGTCAACTGTCAAGTATTTAAACTTATTGTGGATCACCGCATTGTGGACGGATGGGAGTAGTTTCATGCAATGCAAGCAATAGCAAAGAGTAAGATAAGCTTTTTTTTTTTTTTATTTACTAAAAACATCACCCTTAAATACACTGCATTACATCTTTCTCCCTCCGTCTCACTGATCTGATTCACGCTTGAAACCATATGAAATACTAATTTGTTAACATCCATATCTATTCGCCACTTAACGATCATAACTTAACCAGAAAAAACCTGGTCTAACGAGAACAACACAGCAAACGATTACAGTTCAATCTAAGGTCCATATATGATCTCGTAATTCGATGACAAGCTACATATTATAAAGAAATTAATTTTTTTTTGTCAAGAACATTTCATCAACGATAATGATAGTAATTGAAAAAGTTATTAAACATTGATTATCCGCTGAGAAAGATCATGCGGATGGGTTCGGTTACGGTAGCGGCTTGATTGACAATGACGATCAACATTTTTTTATTTTCCCACACCAACGTGAATACGCCATGTCAGTATTATATTAACTCATTCTAAAAAAGGATTTTTTCTAATATAGGAAAAAATATAGGCTTCAAAAAAGTTCTTATATAATTTTATTAATCTGATACTTATCATAAAAAATGATCTATGACACGTGATCTCATATTTTTTTTCGCCATTAGGGTACTAGCAATTCATCAGGGTTTTAAAAGTCAGTTTCCAGGTATTCACCCTCACGCACTCAAATAGACCGATGCACTATGGAATGGAACCGCCTAAAATTTTTCATCATCATTTAATCGTTTAACAGTATAATTTGGCCGGCATTAAAATAATTCGTCCCATGACTGCCTGGAACTATGGAACAATTTTTAAACGTCCAATCCCCATGCTGTGCACCCCAATTGCTTCTGGATTTAGACACTGATCGGTATTTCCAGCTATAAGTCGATAACCAATAATAACTGACTGATAACCGACCGTAACTTACCGAACCCTTCCCTAAGTGGGATGTCAAGAGTGCAGACTGTTATCGAAATGGAATTGAAATAACAAGGGATATAAATAAAGTTAAATATTGGTATCAAGGGTAAAAATTGCGTTCAAATTTGTGATAGTATTTGTGATAGTATTTGTGACATATTAGATGTAATTGAAATCAAAACCTATTAGTTTAGTCAGGATTAGAATGTTAGTGGTAGCTTTTAATCTAAAATTTTTGAGTTCATTTACACGTGATCTTAATCTTGCATGGATGTTAAATTATATTTTATAACATATATATTTTATTTAATAACTTCATATATTCATATCGCCGATTATGGAAAAAGATTTAATATCTGTTATTAACTATTTATCACCGGTGTTATTTACAATTTAAAGTAGGCTAGCGTTTGTAAATAATCAATGTCCACAGTTAAATGAATGTATAATTCTGAAGTTGAAGATGATTTGAAAAAAATATTGATCGAAAATAAGTACCAATTAACATGGGATCCTTATGACGAATTTAAAAGTATTGCAGAGGCAGGTAAAGGTAGATTTTCAACTGTATATTATGCCAGATGGATTGATAAAAGGCAGACTTTAGTCAGACCCATTACGCTTAAATTACTTAATGAATCAAATAATTATCTTGGAAGAATTTATAAAAGCGGTAACTTTATTAAATGTTTTTGTTAATTACAATAAATTATTCGTAATTTATAATTTATATTATTTTTATTATTAACAATAAGTTAAAAGCATATTGCGATATCGATCTTAAAGATATGAATTTTTTGGTATATCAAGAGATAAACTTCTAAAAATTACATTCTTGTCATGAAATTTGCTTTTGAAGTTGGTTTGAGCAAATATTTAGAAAGTACGGCACAGATGGATTGGAAAGATAAATTAAATTTGCTTCAATGAATTGCTTCATTTTCTAATAATTCATTCACATGACCTTATTCATCGGGATTTACATAATACTTACATTGCTGATTTAAGGCTTTCAATAACGGTCAATAATTCATTACAAAAAAAATCTGATGGTATTTATGGAATTTTACCTTACATTGCTCCTGAAATTTTGAATAAACAACCATATACTAAAGAGTCTGATATCTATTCATTTGGCATAATAATGTGGAAGATATCTTCTTGAGTATTAGCGTTTCGGATAAGAAGCATGATTTTTAGAAATTCTTCAAAGAGTAAGGGCAATTACAGTCAAAGGAACGACACAATGTTATGATGATCTTAAGAAAAAAAAATGCTGGAATAACAAACCTGATGAACGTCCATCAGCTTCAAAAATTTATGAAATTATTCAAACATAGAGAAATAACGAAGTTTTATTTAAAGAGTTTGATAAATAATAAGAAATATATTAATGCAACTTCTCATAACTCAGCAGTTATACACCCTAGAGCAGTTTACATGAGTCAAAACATCAACTAAGTTTCTAATATTTTAGAAAGTTACAAGCGGAATGCCTAAATAATATTAATGGATCGATTTAGATAATTAGAGGAACAGATTATTGATTAAGCCTGTTGCGCACGCCATCTAAGAATAAAAGATTTTGAACCTTTTAAAGAGAATGCTTGAAGATATATTGCAATACTTTGTAATTTTGTTATATGATTTCTGTTAGAGTTATTGTATCTACCGTAATAATTATTGTTATTATTATTGTTATGGATTTGGCCAGAAGGCGTGGTTTGAAACCTTGAAAGTAGGTTTTAAACCATTAAATCTAATTTGAGGTCAGGTTTTAAACTGAGTCATAAAATGGATATAATATATTTGTCATTCTGCTTATTTTTTTTTTTTTTTTTGCTTGTTTTTACTAAATAGAATTTATATCCATATCCAAAGCAATGGGATATAATTTTTGAACACGAACCGAACTTATTAATAGTGTTTTAAGATGTATATATGTTACGAGTCAAGTTGGTTTTTAGATTGTGTTAACCCGGTCAAATTGATCTAACTTTACTTTGGACAATTATTCATGTGTGAATTTTACCCAGTTTTCCACCTTGCTGACATTGCATTCCGATCCGGAATTTTGTGGAACTTCCTGTATTTTTCATCATTTGAACCAGGACTGATGCTACGCCTGAATTTGGAGAGCAGTACTTCATCGCATAAATTATACAAGATAGATGATTTGGATAACATTATTATACAACAAGCAGGATAATATATGTTCTCTTTATTAGTTTAAGCATCATATTTACACAACTTAGCTTTGAAAGGGTTTATAACATTTACCGAGGTCTCGCGGCTGTTCTCATAAAGTTTTTTTGGCAAGCCAAAAATTTTTCGTTTCCCGAAACCTTTTCGTTTCATACTAAAATTTGCTCAACTCTTCAGAAACCACATTGCTGTCTTCAGAATTTCAGTCCTAGAGTTAGATGATTCATAAGACAAAATCAAGAAACGAGCAAAATTTTTATTCTGTCCCAGAATTTATGAAAATAGCTGTAACCCTCATCTGAGGTCTCAACCCTCATCTGGATCTCAAACTCTCATTACGATAAATCTAGCCTACAGTATTACAGAAAACTATAGCTACGTAAGTATAACAAAATTAGTGCAACATCGGATCACTATGGACCGAGAGCCGAAAATCATTCAGTAAAAGACCAGTTTAAGCAATGATAATCTCTAATATATTAAAATTCATGTCACGCTTTTGAAGTCTCTAACTATATAATTTTATTCTAGTGATTTTACATAGTAGTACGAATTTAATCACTGTTAATTTATGAATGTACTATACGCTGATTTTACGAATGAAATTGATTTAGAATGGATCTGGAATGGGATATTTTAAAATGTGTTTAAAATATCGGTGATTGCAGCGGCTATGATAAAACTTAAACTACCATAGCAGATTAACTTTAGCCATAATACATATTATTTTTAAGTACTTACGATAACTTTAAGGATACTCGCTAACAACACCTTCAATGTAGAGTTGCTATCAAATACCCATTTATCTATTTATCTATCGGATTTCCAGATCTAAATTTATTCGGATATCCATTTTACTATTGTTATCCAGATAATTAGAAATAGATATTCAGATAAATTCAGATATGGATAAATCGATGCCAGATTTATCCGGATTGCAACTCTACTTCAATTTGATAGCTATTGAACGAGATCGTGCAAAAGCACTATTTAAGATAATCCAACATTTTAATTTGTCTGTTCGCCTTCAATATTACAGTGTTAGACAACATGATTGAGTTATTCGTTAATATACCTCTAACGCTAAACCACTTTGAACTGAGTTGGCAAATATATGGGGGTTAGTTAAATTTATTTTTAAAAGGTATATTACATCATTGCTTTTTTATTATTGTCTGATGTACAGTAAGTTTTTCGGAACTAATCTATCCTTGCTTATAAGTATTAAACCCTTAACTTCAAATATTGTCGTAATTAATTTGTGATGATTCACCTATCCACTAGCTTCTGCCGATAATTAATGTACCTATGAGTTCAGATTAATAACGTTAAATCTAAATGCTAGATCAATTCTACAAATTAACCAAATGCGATTCAAAAATGCCGTTCTTGTGGATTGCATAGTGTAGAATTATAGAGTAATGTCGTTCTTAATTGTCTATAAAAGACATCATATTCTTCCAAACCTTAAACTCCAAAATCGGCAAAAATGAAAACTTTTCAAAAGTTCTTTGTATTAGTTGTCTTGTTTATTTTTGCATTTACTATACTCTCGTCCGCTATCCCGACAGAAAAGGGAGAAGCAGAATTGTATGAATTCAATTACTTTTTAGTTTTGATTAAATAATATGTAAATTTTATGTTTGCAACTAATTTTTTTCTATCAAAATTTTTTGCTAAAGACTCCTTCAAGAAAGATCTTGCCCTCCCGTAAGTGTCAATTATTATTATTTTAATATATTAAGATTAACAGAAAACTCAATTCTGATTTTTTTTTTTAGAATCGGGTACAATGTGGAGACAGATGTTGCCCAATTGGTACTATCTGCCTCGCCTCCAGTAATGGTCCTAATTGCGTGCACTAATCATGCACGTAAATTATTTTTTATTATAGTATTATGTCCAGATATAGTGAAATTTTTAGTAATGCAGTTAATATTTGAATGAGAGATCACTTTTAAATATTATTATAATTTATACAACATTTATACAGCAAGCATTTATAACACTATATGAATAATTTACAATAAGGCTTATGCTAATCTAAATAAAGGATGCGATACTTAAAGAAACTAATAAAGTAATCTTAAAAGCAATTGCTTATAATATAAATAATAAAGAAAATTTTAATTTGTATGTGATATATTATAAAAATGGATAATTTATGTGTTTTGATCTGTTGTAAATTTAATCAAAAGTATGAGTACAGACAACGGTTATTTTCGCCTACAGGGGTTCATAAAATTGTCACGACTGAAGTCGATACTGATATTTGGGGATCGCCTTTAAAATATAAGATAGCTGTGCAGCATGTGATGCCACGCAGGACCAGTACGATGACAAATGCAAGTAAAATTCCAAAATATATAAAATAGGTGTACAACGACCATTAGGATATGTTTAGATCTATATAATCTAATCACTACCTGATGATATATACGCGATTGAATTAGTTGCATTCAAATTATCATGACACTAGTGCGATAGGTGGCGCATTCGCGCCACCCATCTTATTTGTTTTTTTTTGTTAAAAACTCAAGCAGTAATTATTGCTGAAAGTATAGCAAGACTTTTAGTCTTAAAAAAGCATGACCAAAGTTTAATTTGTGTATAAAATGAATTTATAGTTATGAAATCATGAACTTGGATTCAAACTATGCCTATAGAGTATTGGAAAGTACCAAGATTGATAACAGAACTGTTAGTGTAAAATAAAATAGTTGACTGGTTGAGGTTAGAATTGATTATAGTTTGAAGACTATCAGTAAGCTAACAAGACTGGAAAATGGAAAAGAGTAAATAGGGATTGATGGCTAAGGATGAAGAAAAAGAAACATATAAAGAATACCAAATAGCTATAGAATAAGTAGCATCAAGAAAATTAGCATAAAGGTTAAGAGTTTTATTAAAATTAATTTAACAGAAAAATTTAATAGAAATATTAGTAAAAATGAAGAAAATGTATTTATTGGCAATAGTGTTAGAGTTAAGGTGGCAGCCTGGGCATAGTGTGGTATTAGATAAAGGAGTAGAATAGAGGTTAAAGAATTGAGACTAAAATGATTATTGTTAGTGTAGCTTCTGACTTTACCAATAATAATTTGATTATTGAGAACAGTAAGTAGTCAAGGTTTGATATTAGAGATAAATAACCAGTAGTGTGATAGAAGTAGTTAGTAAAAGAAAAATTAAAATAGTAATATAGAATATATTGATAGAAGTGACTAGTAATAATGTTTTCAAGAATGGTGAACTATAATAGTATAATTCTTTTTTGAAGTTTATTAAGTCTAGGAGATATATGATGCTAGTTGAGTAAACAGAAGTTATCAAATGTAGTTAGTTGTTTTTTAAGATAGAATATTTGGGATATAAGAATAAAAAAAATTCTAAAGAAATAGTTTCATCATTTGGGATGCATAGAATATTGTAAGTAGAGTTAGTTGAAATAGTCTAACTAATATGTTTAATAAGTTGAATAATTTTTAGGTTGTAGTTAGATAGTTAAAACTATCAATATGTAAATTAGAATATAAAAAAATATTAATAAAAACTAAAAATTATTTTGAAATTATTGGATATGAATGTGAGTAGATGTGGCTAACAGATCAGAATTGTTAAAATGTTTGAGAAAATTAGAGATGTGGTGTTGCAACTGAATATCCTATATAGATATAATAATATAGACTTAAGAATATAAAAGAGTACTAGAAGGTATAATATAATAGAGTTTAGTCTTGAGTTTAGCAAAACTAATGTGATTACTAAAAATTTTATTACAAATATTTTAGTTAATAGCAAGATTGTGAAGACAGTATTCAAGAGAAAGGATAATAACAGTATTAATAATGTAGTTAGCTTGGATATTGGTAATATGTTTAGTTTTAGTAATTTGAATAAGTTAGAATAATTCAGAAAAAAGAAGCTATATTTGTTTAAATTGCCTATTATTTAGAGGAAACTAGTAACCAAAAAATCAAAAGGTTAATCAGAAGAGTATAATAGAAGAGAGTGATTGTTGTAAAAAATAAAAGTGTAGTTGGATATGGAGTTGTTAATATTCAAGATGAAATTAAAAAAATTAACTTGTATATTTGTTATAGCATTTTTTTTTTTGATATTAAGGTAAAGCCTTACTCCTATCTTTATTCATAGTCATTAAATAATAACTACATGGAGTTATTGGATACAAAAAGAAGTTCTATATATGCTATAGCTAAAACCAACACTTGTGATCAGAGCTAACCATTAAACTGCTAATTATAAAACTATAACTCTAAGTAATATAAATGCTACATGCAAGAGTAAGAGCTCAGACATATTTATCTGTAGCTTAAACCTACTAAAGTGACTAAGGCTCACCTAGATTAGTTGAAATTTTCTAAATAATGTTCATTACTCTAGTATACACTAATAAGTTACTCATAGATTTCACTAATTATTTATACTATCAGAAGTTAATTACATCATTATAAAGAAAAGAAACAAAGGTAAGATAAATTAAATAAGAAATAAAGTGTAGTTAAAAAAGTAAAAAATAGTGTTAATTGAATAAGCAAATAGATAAAGAAAGTTAACAGAATTGTAAGAATATAGCTAAGATAAGTGATATAAATTAGATAGGTAAATAAATAAAGAAGAGTTAACAGAAATGTATAAATATTGCTAGAGGAAAAGGCTATTATCAAGTTTATCGATAATTTTAGATATATTGAAAATGTAAATAAAGTCAGTTTCTGATACTGTAGGTATAACAATATTAAGTTTTTTGATAATGTATTGGTTTGCTTGATTGAAGTATAACTTGTTAAGATTTTTTTTAAGTTGAGTAATAGTTGGTTTAGAGATTTGAATGATGTCATAATAGGCAATGATTCTGGCTAGGATTTGTGAATTGCTTGTTTGAGAGAAGATTTTGTTCAATACTTCTTTGAGATTGAAATTAATAATTTTATTATTTGTTGCTGCAGATTTAAAGTAAACTTTAAGATAGCAGTAAAAGAAATAAAATATACATTTAGAATTAGTAGGTGTATTGTTTAGTTGGATAAAGGTTTGTTTGGCAAGTTTATAAAGTTCTTTAAAAGATAAGGATGTGTAGAATGTTGCTAAGATTAAAGCAGAAAGATTTAAAGATGAATATATATATTGTTGAATAAGTATAGTGTCAAAGGATTGTTTAAAATAGTAAGAAGTTAAATTGTAGATCTTATGAGTTGTTTTTGGGTTAAGAATTTTACATTTTTTCAAATTAGTACAGGAGTATATATGGTATATTGCTGTTTTGATAGCATAGTTTGTTCAGTCTTGAATAGATCGAATAGTTGGTAGTTTAGGTTTTTGAAGAATTAGCTTTTTGTATTCGTTATTAGTTGCTGTTGTTATTTAGAATTTGATATAGTTGTAAACTTTTTGTATATTGATGTTACTAAATTGTTTTTTGTAATGTATAAAGAATTTTTGAAACCAGATATCAAATTGTGGTTTGATTAAGTAAAAAGATGAAATATGAAGTTTATATTAAATTCTTGAAGAAAAATATTTATAGTAATGTTAATATAAAATTTAGAGGTATTATGAATTTGTAAAATAGGAGTATTGCTTTTTGAATTGTTTGAAATATGGTTTATATGTATAAAAGTTTTTAAATAGATGGGTTTAAATTGTAAGTCATAAAAAAATTTTTGGTGATCAATAGTTTAATATTTGTTATGTAGGAACAAGTAAAGTCTGGCAAGATTTATAGCAATTTGAAATCATTTTTTAATTGAGTAAGGAGGAATAAAATAGTGTGAATTAAAGAGTTGCTTGTAATTTGTTTTATGAAAAGAGTGTAAATAAATTTGGTAAGCCAGTTTTTTGTTGTATTAAGAAGGATTTTGAAAGGTAATTTTGTTGCTTCAGTAATATTTGGATTTTTGTTTAGAATTGTGTCTATAATAAATTTAGGTTTTTTTTGATTGCTATAGTTTGAATTAATAAGCTGAAATTACTTTTTATAGCCAGTTTATTGATAATTGTAAAATTAATAATTGAAACGGAATAGAAGTCTTTGAGGATTGGTTTTAAGAAATCTAATGTTTGAATTCCAGATATCATAAGTATAGATAAAGAAGAGTTTTCTGAAATAGGATAGTTTTTGAACCAGTCTAAAAGTTAATTTTGTTGGGTTGTAGTTTGTAGATCCATTTTGGGATTATAAGTGATAGTAATAGAGAGATGTTTAAAGTTGTAAATAGCTTGGAATAGAGATATAAAAAAGATTTTTTAAGTAGTTTGTAGTATGAATAGAGTATTTTATAATATAGGTAACAAAAAAGAGCAGGTAAAAAAGATAAGAATTGGGTGAGAAAATTGAGTTTTTTGAAATTAGCAATGAATTTTCCAGAGAGCCAGTAAATTTTCCAGGTTTCTTTGAGGGAATTTGAAGAAATGTTGAGTATTTGGATATTTTTAAGGTTGGTAAAAAGTGAAATTTCTGGGCTACCCCTAAAAATTTTTTAAAATTGACCAATAAAATTTTAGAAAAGAGTTTGAATAGAGGTTTGAAGAAAAATATTAATAATTTAATGAGTTTGGTTCATTAAAGATGAAATTTATGTTGCAATGATCATCTCAGTGAGCTAGATATTTTTAATTAATGAGAGAGAATAAGATTGCTTAGTAAAATTTAATGAAAATTGAGAAAATATGTTTTTTAAGAAAATATTAGTTGGTATGTAATATAATAGATAGAATTTGATAAAATTAGTATAGTTGGAAGCAGAAAGTTTAGAATACTTAGTTTACTTGAAAGTAAAAAAGTTTAATTAAGTATAAATTGAAGAAATTTAAAAAGAATATAGATAAAGATAATTTTATTAAAATATAAAAGTTTGTTATATCGAAAGATTAAGTATTGTTAACCTACAAAAACGATCATAACTCTTGAACTACTGGACAGAATT